TACGTACCGTATGGAGGACTGGCATAATCCCGTTTGGTACAATTCGTAGTATGCAATCATCCTAGGCCAATCACGCTAAACATCGAGTCATGAAGTGGAGGCGGCGCCTGGTAATCCGTAGGATTAGACGTCTCCTTGTCCGAAATTTGAAATTATGAGACGAAGAAAGAACAGAAACCAATCTTTTTTGTCATATTGTCAACACGGTACCGGTACTGGTATCAGTACCCGAAATTGCAAAGATGATGATGATTTGATGTAAGTACAGTAGTTTCCACATCTTCTGTGATGGTACATTATCAAGGGCTATGCACATGAGCAACATCACGGAATGATAAAAAGCTGGGCTGCTTCCATGCTAGCAGGTAGAGGCTTTCACGCTGATGACGATGCTGGAAGAAGAAGCATAGCTATAATACTTCATTTCGTCACCTCTTTGGTAATAGTAACTTCGGTATTTGAACAATGCTGGGAGAACCATATTCGATAAGGTACTGTGAGACCAAAGCAAGTAAAAATCCAGTACCATAGATTCTTGATCAATCCCGTTCCTGCTCCACCCAGACTGTGATTGACCACCAGAACCTTTGGCAAGTATCCATCCACTTCTAGTCGAGAAGAAAAGGTGTGATGGATGTCGCGATGCTGATGCAACTGTCGAAACCTTGATTCTTGATCCATAAAATCGTGATACATTTCATCGTTGACAAACAAGAGTAGTTTGTCCAAAGTGATCTTGGTGAATTGCTTTGGCATGGACGATCGTTGTGCTTGTGTGGAATCATCGTCTTTGGTATCGGTGTTGCCACCACCCGTTAGTATCCTTGACAAGCTCCGAGTATCCGTTTCATCCTTACACCTAGCCGTAGTTTGAAGTTTTTTCGAACAATTGTGAGAACATTACAGTCCCAATACCAAAATAACAATGACAAGAAGACGTTCGTACCTATCAAAGGAGTACTCGCCAGAGGCTCGATGGGTCACAATCTTTTCAGTTTCCGTGCGTACTCGTTTGCTGCTGCCAGAAGAATACTTGACACGACGCCGGC